TTTTGATTTTACAACTCTATCATTATAGCTTTTACACCAGTTTTGAAATATGTTAAACTTATTAAACTTGTGCTCTTTAGCAATGATTTAAGAAAGCAGTAAATTAAGATTTGGCGTTTGAAGTTGATGTATGGCGTATAAATTTCATGCTTGAACTGCTACGAGGGCTTGTAGTCGTTAAAGCATGAAATTTATATGCCAAACGTCAACTTCAAACGCCAAATCTTAATTTACTGCTTTGGTGAATGGCATGACTAGTGGTTAATTTGCTTTCTTAAATCATTGCTAAAGCTAAGAGCACAAGTTTAATAAGTTTAACATATTTCAAAGTTGGTGTAAAAGTTATTATAATAGAGTTGTAAAATCAAAAACCTCGCTAGCGGTTTGACGTTTGCCGTAAACGTCAATCTAAAGGTCTCTATTGTTAAATACATATTCGTTCACAAGTATGCAAGCCATCCACATTTCTGATTTCTACCAAAACACGTTTGCATATACAGTATAAATAACCTCTTCCTACCTGAATATTAGTTTGTTTTCATGCTGCGGTGCAGGTTAATAGTTAATTATTATAGCATTAGTATTGTTAAAATTTCGGTGGTCAGCCGTCAGGGCCTTATTTTACTGTAATGGTCCATACAAAAGAGAACTATGTAGTTTATCTTCACTTGTATGTAAATATTCATAGTGATAAGCTACAAATTCATCATGAGAGATCACTCCATCTCCATTGGTGTCCATCGCTTTAAACGATGCTTTGGCGTGCTCGAATTTCCCACTCTTTCAAAGATATACTTCCATTTCTGTCTGTATCAATAATTCGAAATACCTTATCGTAAAGAACGGTCGCAGGGCCACCTCCCTTTTCCACGTTATCAATCCAAGACTGCACTAACTCATCCACAGTCAAGGACTTCGTGTAGTCTGTAAGACCAATGGAATCACACATTCCGTACATGGCGTCAGATAATTCTTGTTTGTATTCTTCCGGCATACCAAGCTCGTTGTATCTCTTGATCATGATGTCATAATCAGCACGAGTTATTACACCATTCTTCAAAAATAACGAGTTTATTGCAGTTTATCTACAGAATAGCTCGGTCAGAAGTTATAAAAACATAAAATTGAATCAAACCCACCCTAAAGTTCAAAATTTAGAAAGTCTCGAGCATCATTAATTTAAAAAAGTTACTTGAAAATCGTCTAGTGCAGGCTACATCATCTCATGTCCTGAGAAATATTTAGACACTGCAACGTTTACTTTACTTTAGCGCTAGCATTTTAGTAAAATTATTGTAGGCATTAATGTTCTACGTTGCCAGCTGGTGTGTTACATGCACCTGAATAAATTATAGCTTCTGAATCAGTCTAACAGTATTTGATGTCCTTGATAGGCTTGGTGCGTTAATATAGTGCAGTTTCTTACCTTGTCAGCGTCAGTAACTTGAGCGGCGCGATATAGTTTCTTCAGGTAAAACTCATTAGTTCTTAGTTCATTCATGATCAAGGCAAAAGTCGGCAATGCAGTTGAAGCACGTATTGCAGATAATTATATTGTTACGTATCATATTATATATGGCCAGCATGTGTTTTTATATTGAATGGCGCATTTTGATTGGCTGCTGATGAGGTAGGATCTCCCGTATTGGCTACGGACAATAATAATAGTATTTGCATTACGAAGCTGCGACGAGAGAAAATATCAAACCTCGCCAAAGTACTTCGGTCGCAATAAAATTTTCTTTACAATTATATAGGTCTTATAATGTTCCATAAATTGTTTGTTCCTTTAAGTCAGCCTTTGGCTTTTCAGAATTTTATGCAAGAATTTGGAATTTCATGAAAGAGCCTTCGGGCTTCTTCCACTTCAAGCGTACCGTACCGACAGGTATCATTTAGTGAATGTTAAAATTTAGTGAATGTTAATTGGTTAATACTTCCGTAGTAAGCTAAAAAGTTGACTTGCGATGAACTTTTTATTTTGATATGCGAAACAACTGGAAGTACGTAAATTTGAAACCCATCTTCAAGCTGCGCATGCTCGCAGGTACGTTACGATACGGGCGAAGTGGAAAACTGCCTTAAGGACCTTCAGAATTTTATGTAGGTGGCGCTTTATCGGTATATGCTCAATCAGGATACGCATACAATACCTTTTCACATGGCATACCTTAATATACCTTTACCTACCTTAAACTACCTTGGCGTACTTTAAGGTACCTTGATTGGGCTATCTTAGCCTACCACCTAACCTTAGACTACCTTAGCCGACCTACAATCAGGAGCAAAAATAATGAGACTTTTCACGTTTTTGACCATTTTCAAGTACGTCGGCCTCCCCCCCTCCCACCATGATCAATGTTGCAAAAATCGGGTTGAATTTTCTCTTTTCAGTCATCCACACAACATTGAATTGGGGGTGAGGGGGGCATTTATGCGTTTGTCTCAATAATTTTTGCTCCTGATTGTCTCTATTTGTACTTTTGAATGAAACGTAATTCGTTCATGTTGATTCAACTTATTGCTCCTGGAAAGACGCCGACTTGGATTTCTTGCTTAATAAACCTTTTGCTATATAATATTTTTTCTCAGCGGTTTTCTATAACTGAGTACTTCATGTAAAAAGAATATAGGGGATCTTGAGAACTATAACTATTTTTTGTTTGGAAAGGACGATTAATTGACGAATATATACATTGGAAGAAGATTATAAAATAATGAATGAATTTCAGACAATTTTTCCCCATGGGTGACAATCATGAGTATATTTTTTCTCTCAAACAGAACATTTCCATTAAGTTCAAGAATTTTATAACAGACAACGCGTCGTTCTGACCTATTATGGAAAAATTTCAATAATTTTCCTACTTTTAGCTGAATTGTTAAGTAAGATTGACATACTCACTAACTTTTAAACCCAATTTAAGCTTTTTATTTATCTTGATAAACGGACTTATCGATCATAAACTTGCACTAGAATTTATTGCAAACTTCTATCTCCCATGATTTTGGGATTATGTGAGATGAGCTCAAGCAAATCTGGCCGCACATGCGCAAAATATCAATCTATTTTTACGTACTGACTATAGACACGTTACACACACGTTACACCACACGTTACACCACACGTTACATAATAATTTGTAGTAAAACATATAGAGATATGACACGTTACACACGTTACACCCATTGTTTTTGAAAATAAATATATATATATTTATTTTTAAAAACAATGGGTGTAACGTGTGTAACGTGTCATATTTCTATATATTTTACTATAGATTATTATGTAAAGTAGGTGTAACGTGTAGTGTAACGTGTGTGTAACGTGTGTGTGACGTGTCAGCGTTTGCTTAATGAACCCAAGTGCATAAAATTTACATAAACTAAGCACTTTAGATTAATTGGTGAACAGTCCCACAAGCACAACAGCACATACTGCAGTATAAATGACAAAGTTTTCTTATTGTTAGTCATATGGCTAAGCTGAGAAACTGTCATATACTGACTCCCTCCTCAGGAAATGATGGCTAATTGAGCTTGAAAGGACGTAAAAGTAGTTAAAAACACTACATTAGATTTTTTTGGCTTATTGTATATGTCTTACTATATCACCAAGTATTTTAATGGATCGTACTTAGCCTACATCTTGGCTATTTTCCCAAAGATTTTTCTCTAGTAAGTATTGAGAGTAAAAAATTAAATTCGTTAGAATAGCTTCTTTATTCTTGCCCAGTCCCCCGCGCAGTCTCCTTGCAGAATTTCTATATTTTGGGGGACAAAATACTTTCGGTTAAATGATTGAAATATGTCAATTTCATGTCAACATGATCGCTAGAGTTTGGCAAAATTTCAAATTTTGGACAGCTAACCCCCAGACAGGTCCATCTCAGACAATCAGGAGCAAAAATAATGAGACTTTTCACGTTTTTGACCATTTTCAAGAACGTCGGCCTCCCCCCTCCCCCCATGATCAATGTTGGAAAAATCGGGTTGAATTTTCTCTTTTCAGTCATCCACACAAGATTGAATTGGGGGTGAGGGGGGCATTTATGCGTTTGTCTCAATAATTTTTGCTCCTGATTGTAGCTTAGACTACCGTTTGAGACACAGAAACTACCTTTCTGAATCTTGACTCATTCACCTCAAATTCCGAACGGAACTAAACACATGCTAAGGCAAATTTGGGCCTCCGTGATTGAAGCGGTATAACGGTTATTATTAACATTTCTGAGGATGGTATGCAAAAGATTGAAATCTAAATTTGACATCTCTTATTACCCTCTTAGTTTGTTTATCGTTAAGTCTAATGTTAATAAACTCGACGCCACCTCGTTTTCCCAGATCGATTGGTGCGTTAATTTGATTTCGAGTTAGAATTAATGTTCGAGTTTTGTTTTCGTATGAAAACGATTACGGATTATCAAGTGTTGTGAAAACCCGGAATGCCGGAATATCACGGAATATGGCGGAATATGCCGGAATATCACGGAATATGGCGGAATATCACGACATTTTCCCGGAATATACCGGAACATCACAACATTTTCCGATGGTAGCCATGCGACTGTTTATAAACATGGACGTCTGACAACATGTTTTATTATAAACGTGATGGATCTTTCCCATTTTGACGGTAAGTAACAAACAATAACTCTATACTGGAAGTTTTATATGTTGTTTATATCATTTTTACGAGTGTTCACCAAACATTTTGAATCAATATGATTAATTCCTCCTGAGTTACTGCTGACGTCAGCATTATTTTAGAACACCTTCAGAACTGTGTTAACTTATACACAATATTTAGTTAAAATTGACCATCTTATACCACCAAGCATTTATCCAAAAATCAAATGCTAAAATAAGAAGCCCCGTCTTAACCTTAAACCAATATTTTTTAACTAAATTTTGTGTATAAAAGGCTCGTTCACACTTGCAATTTTCACTGCGATTTTAGGTGCGATTTTCTTGTTCTGATGCATTTGAACGAGTGGATATTGGATAAGTTATGAATGTTTAGATGAGGGTATATGTACTCCGAACATTCGTAACTCATCTACTCGTTCACATGCATTCATAGAAGGAGGAAATCACTGTAGAAATCGCAGCAAAACTAATTGCAAGTGTAAACGGGCCCACAGTTCTGAAGGCGTTCGAAAATAATGCTCACGTCAGCACTTTTGTTTTTCAAGACGCTGTAACTGAGGAGGAGTTAATCATATTGATTCAAAATTTTTGGTGAACACTCGTAATAGTGATATAAACAACATATAAAACTTCCAGTATAGAGTTATTGTTTGTTACTTACCGTCAAAATGGGAAAGGTCCAACACTTTTGTCAGTAATTAAATATGTTGTCAGACGTCCATATTTATAAACAGTCGCATGGCTACCATCGGAAAATATTGTGCTGTTCCAGTATATTCCGGGAAAATGTCGTGATATTCCGTCATATTCCGGATTTTCACAACACTTGGGGTGTATTTTCGGTATTTCGCCATGAAATATTCCTAATATACCCGCATATATTGCGAGCCCTATATACAGTAGTCAATCTAAGCCCTTACGTAGTTTATGTACGCTAAGGTTAGGCTAAGTTATTCTAAGGTACCCTAAGGTACGCTAACGTATGTCATGCGCGCGTGTAAAGTATTGTATGCGTATGAAAGGTATACTATACATAAAATACTGAAGGTTCTTACATAAAATAATAAAAAAATTCGTGAACATTCAATTTCGAGCAAGCCAAGTCAAAGTCGAAATAATATTAATATACTCTAGTACGTAATTACGTAGGTGTAAATGTTCCTTGTTTGATGCATTTAATTGTTTGATATTTGTGGAAACATTACGTTCATTTTGTATTACTATAGCTTTCGATCCGGACGCCTGTATGGATCTTCACCAGTGTAATTATTATACATCTACATCTACATTATACGACCAGTGAAGATCGGACTTGATCAAAAGCTTCGCTAAAGCCGTGGCAAAGAAATAAACGTGTCCTGAAAACAAAACAATTATATTTTAATTTATTTTTACCATGCAAACCTTCAAGATCAATGTCTGGTTTGTCAAGGTCTTATTGTGTTTTATTTCAATGGTATCAAATCTATCTTGATTATCAAGATAACGAAGTACGTGTCTTTAAAAAGCAAAGCAGCTATAATTATTGAAAAAAATTTCACACAAAATGCATCACAGCGCTTATATTTTTATCTCTAAATTACGTCAAATCAAATAGAAATATTTCGAAAATTCGCTACATTGAAAATATTTTTGCTTCAGCATAATTGGGCATGGTCAAGCGAACTTGACCATGAGAGAGTTTACCGTAATGGCAACGAAATTGAAGTCTGCATTTTATAGGCAGAAACTAAGGGGCTGTTTATATGGAAGCGAGCCCAGTGTTTCCACAACGGATCATTCAAATTTCCTTGATTTTGCTTTAAAATTTCTTTGAAATTGGAATATGGGATGTAATTTCCTTGAAATTTCCTTGATTAACTGAAGTATA